ATAAGCTGCTGAAAAACTGATAAGGACTGGGCACGACTCGCTGACAGCGGTAGGCTTCATAGACGGACTGCTTGGATAGTAAAAGACCTGTCCAAAAATTTGGTATTATGGCCAGGCATTTTTAATATAAAATTTTCTGATGATATCAAAACTTTCGAATGGGTAATAATGAAGGAATTCAAAGCCATCCTTAAGATTATAAGGATAGTAAGGATCAAAAACAACATTTATACAAAACTAGCTTGCCAGGCAGACGTTGTTCTGCCATTTTCGACGACCCTTTGTCATGTCCTATTAAAGATACTAAAATTCGCAAAAAATTTGGGTCACTCATGGGCAAAAAAACTATCCTATCTCTCAAACTGGACCAAACTGCACACGGTGTGCAAATTTGACTAAATTCGGTTAAGTAGTTTAGGAGTCCATCGCGAACAAACAACGTGACACGTAATTTATATATATTAAGATTTTTGAAGACGCTCAAGATTATCAAGTTGCTTCTCGGTGAGATCAAGATAGCTGACATCTGCATAGTCCAGAATTGGGAGAGGAAGAGATTGAGCAAGCGCATTCCGTAGTCAATATTACGGAAGATAATAGATCTGCAATGGAAAATGGCAAATTAACTATCCTTTCTTCGTTAGATTTTAGAAATGCCTTTAATTCAGTTGATTTTGAGATTTAACTGGGTACACTCTTATTATATCTTCAACAGTGATTGATTGGTTTCAAGTCTGGCGCCAGCATGTTCTCGATGATACTTTTCTCTACCATCGCTGGTGCCCCGCAGGGTGGCGTATTATCTCCCTTACTTTTTTCAATGTTTATTAATTCTATAGCCTTTTTTAAATTAATTTATATTGACAGGAACCTATCACGGGGTTCTCAAATACAGGAAGTTAGTCGTAAACTTTTTGTAGCTGCTCGATCATCGAATAGATAAAAAAAAACTTGCACCTACTGCCACTAAAAATATTATTATTTTAATAATTTTTTATAGTTATAGGAGAAAGGTGATAAACGAGCACCACCTGATAGTAAATGGTCGTTGCAGCCCATAGACATCTACATCAATCCTCAACCACGAATCAAAATGCAAATGCGTTGTCACCAGTGAGGATTAAGATGGAATGCCTAAATTCCAGTAAAAAGAGCATCACGTCCTCTACACTCACCATACGAAACATGGTAGCATTAAGCTGCTATTTTATGCTGGTATTCTGTGAGAGCGTGGTCCTTCCCCGGTAGAGCCGACCAATTCGTTCTACAACCATAATTATAGCTGCAGCGTTGCTCTACCACGTAAAACATGGTTATACATATTTGTACCTATACAATTTTTTGCAATTTTTCTTTTCTTATTTTAGTTACTATAGAAGGTGCTGAGCCATTTAAGGGATTCTTCATTCAAGCACGTTCCGTAGAAACTAATGAATGGCTGGGCTCGTGGGAGGAAGTACCAAATACTACCATCCACCCGGAATGTTCAGCCATCACCCACGCAGATCCTCGAGAGAAGACCAGAGCCACATTTATATGGAAAGCTCCCTCGGATTCACAAGGAGGAGTTTACTTCACGTAAGTACATAATAGAGACTATATGTGATATTAATGATATTAACGTTATTACTCGTATACAAAACGAAACACATATATTATTCAATTTCATCATCGTTCATCATTATAGCTCTTCGACAAGCCCACTGCTTATCATAAGCTTTCTTATTCCGTTTGGTCACAACTCATTTAAAAAATAAATTGATATATTACCATACCATTACAGCCTATAGAAGTCCCCTGTTGTATGTAATATTCCCCCCCCCCCCCAATATATTGTTTCACGCGATTAGTTGCCATGTTTGGCAGGGGGGTTGGCAACCGCACATTTTACAATTTTGATTTGTTATCGGGGAGATGTTGCCGACCATTTCTTATTTCAGATTCCTTCTGTCGCCTCATGCGACGCCACGGGACGATACGGGTTAGTGGACATTACACTGCACTGCCGTCGCACGGTTAATTTTGTTAAATTCAGTAGTACAGATCTAATGAGGCCGTCGACCGATACTCTTATGCTAGGCACCTTTCACTCCGTTTGATGTATGTTGTGAAACACCTAATATATAATGACCGCTCATAAAAGTGCTTTACACTGCTTGACCTTAAGATAATAATGTATTAAGTATATATATATATAATATGATAGAACCTTTAAATTATGAAATCATTTCTAATCTGGCATTTCTTCAGTATCTTGGTGGTTACCGTGATGTAAAGTTAATAACTTTCATATCACTGTTACACTTCTTACGCAATACATTTCACTGTTGGGTAGTCTTCTTCAGATTTCGGAGTGTGGAGCAGGGAAGAATCCGCCGCGCTACCCCATTGCGTGTTTGATTTTGTTTACATGTGCCCAAAATATTTCTCATTTTGCATTTGTGCACAATCTCTTGTGATTTTTTTTTCTATCAACGTCAAACACGCGGAAAATTGGCAATCAAAATTACGACTCACAATTTTAGTAGTATACCGGCTGGAATTAAACCACGATGGCTGGCGTACTATTAAGGGGGGTCGGGCGGGGGGGGTTTTTTTTTTTTTTTTTTTTTTTTTTTTTGGGTTTTTTTTTTTGTTATTTTTTTATTAAAAATTGGGTTGAATTTTTTTATTTTTTAAATTTTTTTTTTTAAAAAAAAAAAAAAATTTTTTTGGGGGGGCCCACCAAAAAATTTTTTTTTTTTTTTTTTTACCTTTTGTGGGGTGATTTACAATATTTAAAATTTTTTTTTTTAGATAAACGGAAAAAATCCTAAAGGCCTTTACAGTTCGCTTATATATGCGTTTCGCTTACGTACTTCTTTAATGTAACAGATACTAAGACTAGCTATAAACGTCTCTCTGTAATAAGACCGAATGTATTCACATCTGATAAAATAATGTTTAACATTTCAAAACATTTGTTGCATATTTTTTCTTTTTCTTACAGGGGCACAGTCTTAAAGAATTATGGCACATTTTGGGCAAACGTAGTAGCACATGCTCCGCAGGAACTTCCACAGCTTCAGATTTTTGGTTAAAAAATATCATATATGAAGATATTGGTTCATGTTACTATTATTAATTATACTAATGTTACCTGCGGTGCCATAAATCATCGGTGTGCTAGGGATATTCTTTACTTTTTCATAATATACAATCGACACGACAGTGGTGCGTCACTATGCCCGCCGTAAGTGCGACTCAGAGCGCAAGAGGCGGTTTCGTGTTTGCCGATTTTATTGCACCACGGTGTTCAACATTAGTGTATTTTCTTCTGGGGAATATTAATTGTATACGTTTAAACATCACCTATCATCATATCTTTAAGGATGACAATGCATTGATTTGAAATTAGCCATTAGAATAAAGAGGGTTAAGCTAGAGACTCATTTGAGGTTAATATCCCAGGTCAATCATCATCTTCATTAATCATCTTAAACTAAATAAAAGAGTATAAAACAGTTTTTGAAAAATAACAAATATCTATAAAACTAAAATTGTTAAGTGCAGATCATATTCCGTTTTTCATACTTCGGTTTCTAACCTAACCTAATTAATCTTACTGGACTATGAAAAACTTCGTGGTTTTAGCTAAGTGAACTCTGTCGCTCTCCTGCCTCCCTCTGTCCCAGAGCGTGTCAATCTAACACCGTTGTAATATACTATTCAATATCAATATCAGAAGAACAACTTCACCACAAGTGCTATGCTTCGCCTGAGGGTGAATCAATCGTAGATCGCTGCGAGAAAGAGTTTACATAAGATTGACATTGTATTATAGTTATATTGGCTAGTTATAATTGGTATTGACTAAAACTCAGTAATTATCGGTAACTAAGGTGGAAGTCTGGTAACCTGTAACTCAGGTTTTAGTTACCTATTTTAGACATCAGCGATCCACAACTATTTTTGTTATAGGTAATAGCTATTAAATTTAGTGCTAAGACATTTTTGTGGGTTTGTGGTGAGAAGTAAAATTTTAAAATTGGCTTAATATTTCAATCATTATACGTAAGTATCATCAATAGAGATTATGTTTTGAGGAACCTCGCGACTCAGTACAGAACATAGAATACTATAATACACACATAATAGAACAGGGGAGTGGGCGGAGTCCGCGTAGCCACTAAAATGTCACTCGTCAATTCACACGCATAAATGTCAACATGTCAGATGTGTTTTGACGTTACAATCGTTTCCAAATTACGCATGCAAATTATTTAGAAAATGACTAATTGCTTCCTATTTACAAATAAATATGTATTAAAATTTAATGATGATCTTGAGCATTAATCAACAGTCTAAAATGTGTGTAAATTTACTCAGTCTGTCAATACAGCGAATCTGGTTTGGCGACGCCAAACCTCGTATAAAATAAAGTTGAAAGTGTATTATAGTATTCTATGGTACAGAACATGTGGTCAAGTAAGCGATGTTGAAAATCTACTTTACGATTTATTGATATTATGTTAAAAATATTATAGATAATGAGTGTACATACCTTTATTTTACTTGAAACACCAACTGTTTGACTCTACATGCACAATCAAACTGCTATTTAAGGATAAGGTGCTGGTAGTCTTAAATTTAATTGTAAAATAATTATTGTAGGAACTATTGTTATATGTAAAAACAAATAAAACAAAGTTTAAAGTATAAAAGTATATATTTTTATTTCATAGCAAAGTAAGTGATGGAATAATATGAATGCACGTCAGACATTTTTCAAAATAATTTTGTTAATTATTGTTATTAGTACATTGCATACATACGATCAATTTCTGTCAGTAATTTTTAATACCATTTATAATAAAAATCATTAAGGCACTATGCAACAAAACTCTCCTGACAAATAAATATTACCACTCTGTGATGCTTGCAACATAGTACTAAAAAGCAGAAAGAGCACATAACAATGTGCTGTTAAGCGAGATCAGTTTTTAAACAATTATTTCCGTCTAAGGGGCCTTTTGTTTCAACACGGGTCGCTTTATGTTCATCAGATCGCACAACTCGTTCCTTATGGGCCTCAATTCGGCAACGTCTTTTTCCCAATCTGTTTCGGCAAGTATATTCATTACCTGGGAAGAAATATAGGCTGTTAATGATCGGATCGTTTCGCGACAGGTGAGCTTATTATTCCCCGGGATCTGCGCAAGATCATTTAAACATTTGAAACCATGTTATCGATAATTCAGTTAAAATGATTTTAAGCTATATCATTAAGGATTTAAGTTTGAAACTACATACAGTCAAACCTGTATAAGCAAGAGTTCAATCTCATTCTCGCTTATAGAGGTTTCTCACTAATCTGAGTTTCTCGCTAATGCAGGCATGGGTAGCGTTTCTCTCTTATAGAGGTACGCAGCAATAACAGCGTTAATTAGTTCCACGAAACAGAATAGGTACAATATTGACGAGAAAACAATACAAAAACAATGGTAGGAAGTTCCACGAAAGTTAAGAATGAGTCATAAAATAGCAGATGTTAAATTTGTAATTTGTTTTGTCATTTGTTACTGTATGTGTGTCTATTTAGAAGTTCCTCCTAAATAATATAAATAAATAAAGCTCGACTGTCGCTTATAGAAGTATAGATAAGTAGCAGACTTACTTACGGAGGTCATTGAGGGAAAAACGACTCTCTATTACAGAGGTTTCTGTTTCTCGCTAATAGAGGTTTTTGGAGCTTAAAATGACGGATCCTGGCTATTACTCTCACTTATAGAGTTTTCTCACTTATCTAGTTCTCAGTTACCCAGGTTTGATTGTAATAATAATAATGTCCTCCAGACCGAATTTCGGCCACGGCGGCCTGCCTCAACGGAGGCTAGCCATCGGCGCAGGACAGGATTATAGTGCCCAAGTATATGCGCAAACACAGGTGCACTCTTTATACCCTTACTCTCATAATCCGTTGGGACGGTAAACCTACACGACCGGAGAGGTCAGGCGCAGGATCTACGGCTTTAAGTGCCTTCCGAGGCACGGGGGTGAGACGCCGCCAACTTCCTGACTCCGGGCAACTACCGAGAATTTTTTGACGGAAAAACTCAATAATAAATTTTTGGCCCGACCCGGGATTCGAACCCAAGACCTCTTGATCAGCAGTCGCACTACTACACCACTAGACCAACGAGGCAGTCTAGGTCTAGGTTTGACTGTAATTAAAATGGTAACCTGTTCGATGTTATCGTGCGGTGCGGCGCAGGCGTCGCCGTAGAGCGTGAGCGCCTCGTAGAGCCGCGCCGCCGCGCAACGTCGCACGTAGCGGTCCGTGTAGCACAGGTAGATCACCAGCTGCCCCAGTGCCTTGCCGCACACCGCGCCGCCCACCTGATCCACAAGGACGTTCTCACATCACTTTCATACCTTCATCTAAGCTGTACTGCCGCTTGGTCAACCACGTACATTCATTTAACATTGGTAGATCCATGCGGCAGCTGACGGCTCGAACCAGGATAGTACCACGAATTCACAGAATACCAGCGTAAAGTAGAAGTTTACTTCTGCGTTTCGCTCGGAAAGTATAGCTGGCCGGAGGCAAAATCCCACCTCCACGTAACATGGTAGCGGAGTTAAATAAGACACCCCAGAAGGGTACCACCCTTAGTGACGGAGAATCCCCCCTGAGCATCCAAGCCCAAGTTACCCTACTCTTCTTGAGCGTGGGTGCTCAAGCTGCCCCGCGTATTCTGGGGGGAGTCGAAATTACACTCGCGAATAAAACTGTTCAGCACGCGCGACTAAACTGCTAAACGGATCAATAAGATAAAGGCGAGCCCTGCCACGGTATACGCGAATTTCTGCAATATCAACAACCGAAACATAGGCCTCTCCTCTGGCTGTCACTTCGTATATCTCCTACCCGAGGTACAAATTAGAACACTCATTTGTGTCTAGGGTTGGAGTTTGCGTATACGTCAGAGAGCACTCTTGAAGGTACGGACCTGTCCATCCTTTGGCTGCGCGTAAACAGTGACGACCATCCCCACGTCTACGGGTACCTCTATAGATCACTTAAATGGCTGCAGACTCTGTGGTAGAACAGGTCCCGTAATCTCGGTGATTTTGACATCCACCACGCCGAAAGGCTGGGTTCCCGTTTAACTGATCATGCGGGTAGATCTGTTTATGACTTTGCCTTTGCTTATAGTCTGTCACAACTGGTTACTTCGCCTACGTGGATCCCATATGTGGAGGATCATGCACCTTCCCAGTTGGACCTTCTGCTGACCTCTCATCTGTACAGGTATCAGGTCTCCATCAATGCCCATCTTGGCTCTTCGGAACATTGTCTGATCCGCAGAACGGCGCCACTCACACGCCCATCGCGGTTGCGGTCTGCAGGTTGCCGTCGTGTTTGGCACTATAGTTCGGCTGGTGCGACCTTTTTTGCATCCTATCTTTGGCGGGTTTGCTTCTCGTCGGATAATTCCAACGTTGATGCTGATGTGGTATTTCAGGGAATGGAACTTTTTATTCCATTATCTGTGGTACCCTATCGGAGGCAGAACTCAGCCATGGTTTGGTTAATTGTTGAATTGTTCGGATTAATTGCGCTACAATTCCCCTGGTGTTGCAATTGTTCATGGGCGGTGGTCGACATTTACCATAAGGTGAGCCCCATGCTCGTTTACACTTACTTCTGTAAAAAAAAATCTGTAAAGCGGTTGACCGGTAGGCCAACCCTGGAACTTCCCGCTTTTTTCGAGCTTGAAACGTTCGAAAATCTTCCAGTTGGTTGATTTTGTTAGAAAAAAAAAAGACTACTTAGAAATATTTAAATGGCTTTAACTTTTGAACATCTCGATCGTGGATTTATTTGGCGTCATTCGACTCAATTTTTTGACTCCAATAAATTGTTTGTCAAGTCTTGAGTGGTGTACACGATGCAATTTATGTGGGAGGCCTATGTTCAGTAGTGGACTTTAATAGGCTGTAACGGTAATGGCTTGTCATAGTTACCACGCTTGGCAGGTTTTACAACCACAGTTTTTTTTTGAAGGAAGATGCTGCTTCTAATCTTCCGTTCAGTTTCTTTCTGTTGCCTCGGACGATATAGTGTAGTGGATATTCTTACAGCGCCACTGCGTGGTTATAAATTATAATATGTTACTGTATATATGTACTTACTCGTAATTAAAGTGTTTCATAAATATTATATAGTTATAACTTCACTGACCTCTAAGTTACTCAAGTTTAAAATCTCATAAATTCATTTACCAGTAGCAATAAACATACCTGTATTAACTGACACAGAACATTGATGGAATCCAAAAGTTTGTAAATATTTTTCCCTCCGCGAAGCTCCAATTGTAGATATTTCAATATATTAGCAGCAAACGTCGACTCCGGATCATCTAAAATTGGTGATATAGAACCTAAAACAAAAGAAAATAATATTAAGATCTACACTTTTGGCATTTTAGTAGTTTTAGTATTTGGTACTAATTGAACTTTGTTCTGTAATGGGGGGTAATTTCATACCCCACGGTGAAAAAAGGTAACCACATGGCTCGTCAGGAGTAATCGACCAGCCTAAAGACCCGCCATGAGTGGAGTATCCTACCACGCTTTATAAACGTAAATTACTAGTAAAACCTCAATTTATGTGGTAGCAATGTGCTTCAAGATGAAAATTATTGCAATCTAGGATTTTTACTATTGATTTTATTGAAAAAAGTGCATAATGTGGCTTATGGCTCTAGCACTAATGACTGGGCTCTACCGGGGAAGGACTAAGCTCACACAGAATACAAGTATAAAATAAGCTTAATGTCGCCGTGTTTCAAATAGTGTTGAGAACCTGGTAATAAATTATACTTTTAAATACTCAAAGTGACAACATGTCTGCACTTTGATTTTTAAATGTTGACAGATGTGTATGGTGGTGCCATGAAGGTTAGAGAACAGGAGAACGATCACAACGTACTAAAGCATAGCCCGCCTGTCCTTGAAAATTGTAGAATACATAGCTGCGCTGACGTCGGTAAGTAGTGACTGCGAAGTTAGCTGTTTATGAGTACAAGTAGGTGAAGTTAGTTAAATAATGATCAAATTTTCATTTCATTTTTTCGTAGAAAATTTTCATGCTCCGTAATTTTGTACTTTTTGACAAAAAGAAACATTAAAAATGGAGAAATATTTTATTGTGCGTAGAATGAAAATGACTTATTGACTGAACTTAGTGATCGCAGCGCCTCACTGATGGTGTCCATATTTCTGGGACACTATTTTCTACGGCGATCGTTCTCCTGTTCTTTATCCTTCATGGGTGGTGCTATGGGCCACAGTATCCGCTTACCATCAGGTGGACTGTGCGCTCGTTTGTTACATTTATTTATTTACGTAGGACACTCAATAAGTTTTGACATATACAAAAAGTATTCTAGATACTATTAATATTTATTTTACATCTTTTCAAAATATTCTCCGTCATGCTCTATACAAAGTTCCATTCGCCTAAACCAACTCTGAAAACACTTGCCAGTTTTGATCTCACAGGTCGGAAATCACTTCTTCCTAGGCAGCCACGGCTTCTTCGGCGCTTGAAAAAAACTTGCCTTTTGACTCTTGTGACCAAAAAGAAATCATAAGTAACTAAGTCAGGCCTGTAGCGTTTTAACACCAGATTCCTCAATAAATGCTTTTGTTCTAAGGGAGGTTTGTGAAGAGGCGTTATCGTGATGCAGCATGACTCCCCAAAGTACGATTTTTGATCCTCTCCCCGCACGGCTTGAAAAGCTTTGGGTAATGCAACTGTAGTATACCATTCAGAGTTGAATGACCTACAATTATCTAGCATTGACGTAGACAAATGTCCGCTCCGCGAAAAAAAACTAGCCACCATTTTTTTTGCCGACGTTGCGAGGTCTTTGCAGTTTTGTCGGTAACTGTCCTTCTGAGTAGACCCATACCGATGATTGCCTTTTATTTTCCAGATCATATTGATAGATCTATGTCTCGTCACCAGTAACGATTTCTGAAACACGCCTAGATGCCCCGTTTTCAAAACGCTTCCTCACTCCAAGATGTTCACGTAGGATGGTATGAATGCTCCCCGAACTACCTACAATCTTTTTGATGTCTTTTTGGTCTTTTCACACTAACATTTCAGTAGTCCATACATTTTCTGCCGTTACTGCTGTTTGCAGGGCCCCGGTTCATTGCCACTTAAGATTAAGATTTGCATATAGACTTTATTTATATTAAGTTTACTCTGTAAACAGTGAACTGATGGGTTGGTGATGTTTATGTTTAGTAAGTGTTAGTTATAGTTTACATAACTTACTTTTTCTGCATATTTTTTTATATATTTTTTATATTTATTTTAGTTATTTATTAGTTTAGTCCATGAAATATGTCTGATGTTGAGTTGTTTACCTCTGCAAATGATTCTTCTACTTTGTCATTTCACTCTTGTGATGATTCTTTCAACGATAGCGTGCTTAATATATAATATACACGAACTACTCAAAGGAGTTTTTATGTCTTTTAAAAACTCTGTGAACATATGTCATATTAACGATCAAAGTATCCCGAGCCACTATTTCGAACTCAAAGCTTCATTTTTGCCTGAGTATATTCATGCTATATTTCTGTCGGAAAGTTGGCTGAAAGTTTTTTATCCTGTACTCGTTAGGAATGATCGTGTAGGAAAGTTGAAAGTGGTGTAGCAATCTACCTACACGCATCAATTCACAAAATTGTTTTAGCATCTCCGTCCTGCTATTCCGATTTTTCTGATTTTTTATTTGTGGAAATCGATGTCAAAGGCATCATAATGCTTCTAGGGATAGTGTATTGCCCCCCTCCCCCTCTACTGACTACGTCGCCACGTTAGATATGGCTCTTATTGATATTAGTTCTGAGTACACACACTGTATAGTCATGGGTGACTTCAATACTGATCTGTTGAAAAACTGCCCTCGTTCCAAAAAGCTTCTTTCAATTATTGAATCGGTAAATCTTTCTATTCTCCCTTTAAAGGCTACTCATCATAATATCGGAACCGATGAGACATTGATTGATCTAATCCTTGCTGCTTCTCCTGAACAGGTTATGATGCATGGAAAGTTAACCGCTTTGGGTTTCTCACGCCACGACTTGATTTATGCTTCGTATAAGCAAGCTTAAGCCTCCCAAATATTCCCCTACTGTAATGCATGTTTTTTTATAGTATAGGGTAACAAACAAGCACACAGTCGCGTACTACGCTTTTCTTATAACAACAAAATCTGTATTCCTGTTTACTTCACAAAGTTTTATGGTAACTCCTTCACAGTTCAGGCTACACGCCTTTGGAACTACTTGCCCGATGACATCAGAAAAGCACCTACTAGTACATTTTTAAAAAGTTGATCCGAAATCATCTGTTATATTCACAAAGTTGACACCGCATTTTACATGACTCATCCATTTAATATGTATTGCTAAGCAGACGTAATTAATCATAGTCATTTGTATGTACTACTTATGTATGTATTTAAATATGTATCTTCGTATGTATATGCATGGATTTATATATATATATATATATATATATATATATATATATATATATATATATATATATATATATATATATAAGTGTAGTATAAAGTAGTATTATACAACAATGGAACTAAAAAGTTGGAAAAAAAGGTAATTTTTTTTTTGGTTATGAACTATAAGGATTGATGCCTTGCATTAGTAATACTGCTGTCATTTGTGTCAATATCAATTATATATACAGTTCATAAAAGATAGCTTGGTCTCTGCGATAGCTGTCGGTAAAAATCACGCCTATGAAGTCCTGAATTTCTTATTAGTACAGACAGTACCTGTCAATGTCTTACTTTATAGGCACGCACTAATTAGGTCGGCATGCCCATAAAGTATGACATTGACAGGTACTGTCTGTACTAATAAGAAATTCAGGACTTCATAGACGTGATTTTACTGACAGCTGTCGCAGAGAACAAGGTATCTTTTATGAACCATAGTATTAAAAAATGAACTTGGCGGCGGAGGCGCAGACCGCCATTGTGGCTGGAAAGGCTGGTGCTTACGTGTGCCAGAGAGTCAGAGATAGAGACCGGCACACCTGCTATGAGGCGCAACTAGCGTGAGTAGAATAGCAGGAGTAGCTGTCCTCTTCTCCCACTATTCTTCGTAGTAGGGAACTCAGAGGGGCGGCCGGCGTTGGTGGAGCCGAGCAGGAGACTGTTACACGTTGATGAAAAAAGTACAAGCAATATATTTAAAGGTACAATGTATTTGAATTACCTGAACTAAGCAGTCGGTCTAAAAAGTTGAACATAGGACCGGTGATCCGTTTCACGTGCAGATTATCCGCGAATACCTCGATGATCGTATCACAGATCGATTTCAACGTATCCTTATCGTCATGTAGAGTATTTAAATATGCGTACAGAGACTGCGTTGTATGTTTCACCTGGAGAAGACACATGTATTATGGGATTAATATTCCACCAATGATTACCTTGTCGTTAGAATTTACAAAATTTAACAAAAGCGATTACTTGGTAAGTACAAGAAAATATATTACCTTAGAGTTAACTTGAATGATCATTGATCTTTGTTAATGATGTAACTTTATATACACTCGGCGTCAAAAAAATCGCACATCCGAAAAAAATAATTTAAATACTATTTTAACACAACAGGCCAATGGCAATGTTGTGGTTTGAGGGTATCATTCGAAAGGTAATTTCATTAGCTTTCAGGAATTTTAATTGAATTTTACTTTTATAACGTGACGAAAGAGAAAATAAAGAAAAAGACAGGGTATGTACAAATTTGCAAATTAATAATTTAAAAAAAAAAACTTAATAAATACAAAAAAGTTCTTAAAACCTAGTGTTACCCCCCCTTGCCTTGATAACGGCTTCCATGCGATCTTTCATGGACCTTAAAAGGGTCGCAACAGCCTCTTGGGGTATTTGTTCCCACTCTTCAAATACCGCATCTTGGAGCACTTGAAGAGTGGTTGGAGCTGGATCTCGACGCGCCGTTTTAGGTCATCCCAGAGATGTTCTATGCCAATGCATAACAGGGATATCGACCTCCTGTAAATAATCCCGTATAATAGCCGCGGTGTGGCAACGAGCATTATCATGCATTAACATGAATCCATCACCGACATAAACAGCATACGGGACCACATGTTCCTCCAGGATTTCAGTAATGTACCGACCAGCATTTAATGACCCTTGCCCACGGCCACCCCGAGTCCGGGAAATGCACACAAGTTCCGTTTTCCCGTCGACGGAAATGCCACCCCAAAACATACACTAGCCACCCCCGTATTCGACGAATTCTTCGAAGCAGGGTTGCGTGAACCTCTCCCCCTGTCTTCTGTAGACCCTTCTACGTCTGTCATTGCAGAAGAGACAGACCCTCGTCTCATCAGAGAAGAGTACGGTCCGCCACTGTTCTAGAGTCCACTCGCAATGATTGCGAGCAAACTCTAGGCGATCTCTGCGATGCTGTGCAGTAAGTTTTGGACCTTTAGCAGGTCTATGGGCTGTTAAACTCTTTTCGTGTAACCTTCTTCTTATCGTAGAAACACTCACAGATGTTCTCAGAGTTGATCGAAGCTGTTGTTGCAACTCAACAGCATTTGTAAAACGGTTTCGTAAAGATGTCGTAACGATGAAACGGTCATCTCTTTCTGATGTGCACCGTTTTCTTCTTTTTTACCGAGCGGCTTCTTCAGAGCTGGTGTCCATCTTTACTTGTTCTTACTTGGGTTACTTGTTCACGTGTGTTCACTGCAAAGTCTAAATTACGACTGACCCATATTTCATCCAGATCGACCCTTTTATACCCTTTTTAGGTGGTGTAACTAGCGTCCTTACTAACGAGCATTTGACAGTGTTTATTTTTGACGCTTTATAATGATAAATTTTTTAATGATTTCATGATTTTTTTATTAATAATGTAAAGCTATTCAAATACCCATTTCAAACATACCAATACTTATATAAATATAATTCGTTTCTAGCCATTACAGCCGTTTTTGGCGCAAACTCAGAGAGGTGCGATTTTTGTGACGCTGAGTGTAGTTTTGTGAACTTAACGTTAAAAGGTTTACAAGTTTTGGAACATCATTTTGGTACAGACATTAGTTTTCCTAAAATTTCAAATGCCATTAAGAGGATATCCGGACAGCAAGATTTTTAACAGATCTATTGCTCGCGCTCTGTATCCGAACGAGTGGTGGTCAGTCAAGAGACATAACTGCAACTCGGACAGATTATACCTATTAAAATTGAAGAAATCACCATTTCGTATTTCTCCATTTAATACTCCAACAGTTTCGATTTCCATTTCTTTTTACAAAAACAATATAAGAAGAAATGAGGCTATGTCTGTAAGTTTTTTTTTCCAGTTTTTATGTTCGGTAAGTGTTTCCTGAATGTCATGTCGATATAGCTGGCTAATATTAGTAATTTTAAAAGGCTCCTAGTTTTTTTTAAATAATTAATTTATGGAAAATACATAACATAGGACAAACATACTAAAACGAAGATCGTGTTTAATGTCCGTGTTTCACCTATACCGGTAGTTGTTGGGAACACTATGCTCGAAGTTGTTAACGAGTACGTTTACCTGGGACAAATAGTCCGACTAGGTAAGTCCAACTTCGACCGAGAGGTCAAACGACGGTCTGAACTCGGCTGGACAGCGTTAGGCAAATTACGACACATCTTCTCGTCAGGTATACCTCAAACTCTGAAAACTAGATTGTACAAACAGTGCGTGTTGCCAGTGATGATTTACGGATCTGAGACGTAGCCCTTCGTTGCTGGCCGTATGAGGAGGCTCAAGGTCGCTCAGCGAGCTATGGAGAAGGCTAAGCTCGGGGTTTCCCTGCGTGATAAATTCACTCAGGAATGAGGATATCCACAGTAGAACCGGAGTGACCAACATAGCCCAACGGATTAGTAAGCTGAAGTGGAAATGGGCAGGCCGTATAGCTCGAAGAACCGATAACCGATGGGGAAAAATGGTTCTCGAGTGGCAGCCTCGTACCGGTAGACGAAGTGTAAAGCGACCCCCGACTAAATGGAGTAACGACCTGGTAAGATATGCAGGAAGTCGACGGATGCAGGTGGCTCAGAACCGTGCTTTGTGGCATTACTTGGGGGAGGCCTATGTTCAGCAGTGGACTTGTGAAGGGCTGTAATGATGATGACATAACATAGGGACATGGTAATGGTAGATATAGATTAAATAGTAAAAAACACACCGTGGACAAAACGCCGCCCAGATATCCTTATATGGTGAAAAACATTAGATACTGTGATCGCTAACCATTTAACAACTAGGACGATTATGAAAACTACTTATAATTTGGACTAAGCCAACGTTTAACGGTTATAACGTTTAACCAATAATGATGCTAATTCACAAATGAGTTTTACACCGAAAATATGCCAAAACCCGAAAACCACGCGGAAATAACATCTAAGTTCATAAGACTTTTGCGTTTGCAAATCTATTTTTAAACTTAAATGTTTGATATACCAAATATATTTAAAGTTCATATTTATTATTTACTCACTAAACTTTCAGTCAGCTCCCCACCACTCACGATCAATCCCTTTATCACGCTGTACCTATAGGTAGGAAAGCCGAGCAGCTGTACGAATCGCGGCATCGTGTGTCCGGGGAACAACCATAGCACCACATTGGAGTTCTCGCTGACAGTTGTCTGCTCAAAGTCCTCCACGACGTCCTTCGGTTGCCTGAGTTCTACTTCATCGTAGGGAAAGATGCGTTTTAAGGCGTCATGGTGGGGAATGTTCGTTATAACTGGGTCACTGAAAAATAAAAAAATAAAAGAATAATTTACAATTAATAGTCGTTTTTGCTTTGCAGCTTTTATAGTACTGGGCTATTAATGACACCTCAACCCAGTGACGTAGCGTGCCTTAGAGGGGCCCTGTATCAAAATTTGTTGGCCAAACGAAAGGACCAAAACCGCTCGCATTGAATTGAAATAATTATATATTGATTATAAGTAAATAATACTCTTAGAAACAAAGCTAGTCAAACAATTCAAATCAAATATAAACTTTTCTTGTCTTGTTCGGCGAACTTAATAGGTCGGGGAAAAAGTTTCTTCGTATTTTATGTACACATTTTTTTTCAGTTTCATTACATTTAATTATAACATATATATGTGTAATTTTTTTCGATAACTTGTTGTCACCTTGTAGGAAGATGATATAATCCCGTTGCCCGTTTTCCCGTTGTAAAAAATGCGACAAGTAGTTTTGACAGTCCTCTCTTGATGTTAACCTAACACTACCCAAAGAATTCTGAAATGACTGAAACAGGTGAAAATCTGAGGAGAAAGGTCAAGACTATATGGTGGATGCATTAACACTTCCAAACCAAGCTTTCTCAATTTTTGCTGAGTGGCTAAATATTGTGTTATCTAGCGTTACTTCTACTTTCATGATAAAAGACCACTCCTTATCTGATGATTTATTCGGGCCGTTTTTTCTTGATTTCTTGCTTGAGTCTTACTAGTTGTTGGCAGTAGAGATACAAATCGATGGTTTTACCCAGCTATAAAATAGCTCATAATAAACGATGCGCTTCTAATGACACCATACACAAAGCATCAACTTATTGGGTGTTAATCCAGGTTTCGCTACAGTCTGTGGACTTGACTACCCTTTGACCATCATCTTTTCGTACGATCTTGTAGGTAATCCACTCTCATCGCCAGTGATTAGTCTTAATAGCAGTACAACCAAAGAGATTTTCTTCAATTTTATACACACAAAATACGAAGAAACTTTTTACCCGACTCATTATAATGGCGAACGTCTCGTCATCGGTCGTGACTGCCTGCCTAGATAGACAATAGTGGCAAGTTGGATAGCGTTTCCTGTCTCATGGATAATTTTCATCAGTACTATTTTTAAAAAACTTCTTTCAGTTGTCAGCGGAGTTTCTCTTGTTGTAATACTTCGAACATTTCGTTTGAAAAAAATAAATAGTTTCTCCGGCTGTAATGCTTCGAATACAATTACTTGGGTCTCAGAGGCTCTAGAACTGTTTAGTTTGAGACATTAATATATCTGAACAGCAATAATACACATTGACTTTGAATTATGATTCTGAGTATGATATTCTCTCCTTCTGATATTCTCCATATTAAAAAAACACTTCGTTATCTTTTTTCTTAATAATCTTTCTTAATAAAATTATTGAAAGCAGTTTTTACACCCCACTCTTTTGCTTATCTCTGGACTCGCTCAGCAAGCTATGGAATGAATTTTGATTTCTTATTTCGGTCAGTCTATTCAAAAGATTGCCCTTAGTAAAATGTTAGCTTTATGTACGTCATTATTTTCATGCTGTAGAGCTTTAGAAACAGGATTGATGATTTCAAATAGTGAAGACAAAAGGTTCGTCTTTAAAATTAAATTTAGTCGTTATATAGTTTTCATTATTAATATAATTCATTAAAAAATAATGTTTCCTTATAGCTGATAAAGTGTCGCGTCTTGAAGACCATCTAGTAGGACATCTTTTTAAGGGTAATTTTAAATTTTTAGATGAATCGTTACTCAAAATTCACAAGCGCTTTATACTACTGCAAAAAAAGTATATTTTTTGGGTTATTCCGTTTATCAACCCTAAAAAATCCACCATAAAGTAGATACTCGCAAACGCGTGTTCATCTATCCACCCCAGACGGGAGTTGATAATCGGAGTTCACTTCAAAAATTTAATCAAAAATCATATTACGTATTGCCGTTAGCGTCACCGTTACAGCCTATTGAAGTAATGCAAAAGTAATTTGCAATGCATAGATTACGTATTGCAAAATTAAAATAAAATTTAACTGCCTCCTTTTAAATAAAATTGTCTTCATTTTAAATAATTTTATGCCAAGATTCAAATGAATTTGTAGTTCTGTGAGGTACTCCTTTTAATTCAGCGTTGACCTTTCAAACAAAAAATATGTATAAATTTTCATTAAATAACGTCTTCTAAGTATCTTGGGCCACTTTTTTAACATATTTCTATAAATGACTGTACACCGCAGAGGGAGAAAATCGGATGAAAAATAATATATATGAATTCCGATTATTCACCCTAGGCAACAATTTATTTAGCCCCTGCAATACAAATAATTAGGGTTTAGTCCTATTTTAGGGACTAATGACCACTGTAAGTTTGTGCTTGTAATATTTTTATCAATAAAAATTATTATTTCTTTAGATACATTATCATAATTTTCTGTTATCGAGATGTATCGAAAAAGTACAGAAAATTGGACAATTTCTGACAGGTCTTCTTTAGGTACGTTGGGCACTATGATGCATGAGATATGATTTTTTTCTCGGGAAGCACGGCCTAAGAGTTTAAGTGAGATTTTGGATAACATTTTACGAATTTTTGATTACATACGTTCAGGACCCCTTTAGGCCGGGGGCCCCGTATCATTGATACGGCTGATACGGCGGTAGCTACGCCTCTGCCTCAACCACACGCGATGGAGATGCCATCGCACGATACATTTTTAATATTATATGTGAGAAACCTCTGTTATTGAAATAACTCTGTTACTGGGAATTGTCAAACCTTATATATAATATCTGAGATTAGATTTCATAGAATTTTTCGATGTTTATCTCTGTAAATTGGATTTCATAACTCAATAACCCGTATAAGCAAAACACTTTATCATATAAATATTTCTACTTCTATATTTGCTGAATGGTACATTTTAACCTCTCATTGTGGGACCTTCTATAAATAATACAGCTGGCATATTAACCTGCCCATTTGGGAAACTGGTTAAATGAAAGTCAATAAGTGATAAAAAATTCTAGATCCCTTGAGATCCCAGTTAACCAGGTTTCTCTGTATTAATTTTTAGAAGAAGCTTTTAAACTTTTTAATAGTCATACATTGTACTTTTCTTGGAGTTCACTGTAAAATCGTATACAAAGCCGTATTGAACAATTACTATTTACTCTGAGGATTCAAGTAACTTACATTAGAAACTTGTGTTTATTTACAGTATTAACGTAAATTATGTTATTTTTAATAACATTATTTAATATGTTATTAAAAATGGCTCACTGGCTCACTCCGCGACTGAGAAAGCAAATTTATTTGCATCTCTGATTGCGAGCAATTCTCGAGATGCCGAATCTAAACAACCGCCAATCCTACCTCGGTGTAATTTTATGATGCCGAAGGTCACTATCCATAGGAAAGAGGTACCTAGAGCTTTGCAATATCTAAATGTGAACAAGGCCAGTGGACCTCATGGTATTACTGCAAGATTACCAAAGCATTGTGCGCCAGAGTTATCTTCTGTTCTGACGCGCCTGTACCACCTCTCTCGTAAAACTCGAACAGTGCCCATATCGTGGAAGCCTGCCCAATGTACACCCAGTACCTAACAAGGGTAGTCGTGCCGAACCCTGTGACTATCGACCAATCGCCATCATCACCTCTATACTCTGTGAACTTATGGAAAGGATACTGAACAGTAAGCTGCTGACGACATACCTTGAAACAAATGACCTCCTCAGTGACCATCAATATGGATTCCGCCGGAGACGGTCCACTGGGGTCTTGTGTATATCACGCACTTCTGGGACGAAGCCATCGAGAAGAACAGCGAAGCTCTAGCAGTTTTACTCGATATCTCGAAGGCGTTTGACAAGGTTTGGCACGCAAGTCTGTTGAGTTAGCTTCTTGCTTGCAGCATCCCCACTGAATTTTGCAACTGGATATCTGACTTTATGAGTGAAAGGTCGATGAGGCCTATTAATGCTGGAGTTCCTCAGGGGTCTGTTCTCCCTGCATTTATTTCTGCTGCACATCAATCACCTACTTTTTTTTTAGTATACAGACTGATTGTTGGGTATACAGACGGCAGTACTCTCACAGAGAGTTTCATGTCAAGTGCAAAAAACGGAAAGGCAGTAAAGACATAGTGGAACGGATAAATGCGACCTTAGGTCTTGTGTCCGAATGGAGAGACGATAATCTAGTCACTTTCAACGCCACTAAAACGTGGGCCTGTCTGTTCTCTAAAACACGGAGTCCGTTTGATCTAGCTTCTACCTTCCGATGTACACCTGTAGAAGTTACTGATCATCTCGAGCTTTTCGGCATACAGTTGAGTGCTTACCTCAACTTTAGGGCTAACATTAAATCGAAATCATAAACTGCGGCCAAACAACTGGGTATCTAAAGGACAGGCCATGGAGGGTGGACGAATAAAAGGTCATGGGTTCAAATCCGCCATTTGACTAGTGTCGTGAACCCCTCCTAACGCAAGCGTTTCAAGCTTACCAGGAGTGGTTAAAAGGAATATTAGGCGACTCGGTCGACGGCGACAGTGTCAATGTTGGTCGCCGAGAGACTGAGTTGCTGGCAACCAGTCAACAGTGCGTAACGGCTCTTCACGCCTGGACAGCTACTAACTTTATACAAAGCTCAAATCCGAAAATGCATGGAGTATCGTAGTCACCTTTGGGATGGCTCAGCAAAATATCAACTTGCCTCACTCGAGTCAGTGGAACGCGGAGCTAAGAGCCTCAACGGCGACACCACGGAAACTAAGGTTCCCAGCTTAGCTCACCGCCACCAAGTTGCTTGTTTGCCGGTCTTTTACAGATTGTACTTCGGAGTGTGCATATGAGCTTCATAAGCTCATACAGCCATATCTATTCTACCATTGGAGTACGAGACGTACTGCAGGTTACCATCCACAGTTGGTTGAAATTCAGAATATGCGCACAAAGCGCATGACTTATATCGTCTTTTATAATGCGCA